AGGAACTGAGAGGAGAGCTGTGAGTCGAATTTAAAGGATTTCTGACTGGCCCATGGTGAGGCCCAGACATCTGAGTCACCTCTCACCAATTTAATACTGGGGTCTCTAAAACATTAGGGGCATCATAACATGTGCTCTGCTGTTTCTTCCTTTCTTGTAAAAACACTGTAAACTGTTTTTGACTGTTTCTTCTACGCTATCATTTTGGTTTTTAGAATATTTTGAGAAGTTAAAAAAGCCTGCTTTGAGTTTTGGTCCGAATTACATTAAACTTCTAACCTACTTGGGGATATGTTCATCTTTGTGCAGGGTTTCCCTCCAGCGAGCTGCCACATTTCTTGGAGATCTGCAGTTTTCTTGTCAAATTTTAACTTCACATCTTTGCTCTTATTATGGATGGAATTTGTTCCCATTTTCTCTCTCCATCCTCCCAATCTGGTTTCAGATTCAGATGCAAATCTGGGCTCAGAGGAAAGTCAAGGCTAAATGGGCAGCCTCTGAAAAGTGGGTTCTGGCATGAACTCCAGGCCCTCCGTCCTGCCGAGCAGGCCTGCTAGGAAGGGGTGGCTCTGGAACCCCGTGCGGTTTGACGACACTTAATTGTGTTCTAAGCTGCCTTACCCCTCTGTTACTATCTCCTCACCTCCCAGGCTCAGGATCTCGGCTCATTAGAAGCTGCGTGCCTGAGGCTGGCTCTAACTTGTCACTCTCCTGCCTCAGCCTCCTAGTATGCGGGGAGTGTAAGGATGCACTGCCCCTGCCCACTCTTCACTCTGATTTTACAGGTGACAGCTATTGCAAGCCTATCAACAACCCCAATGCTCCCATTCTATTATTCCTTCCCTTTCAGAAGACAGACATGCCTCATAGCTGAGAGGGGACACACACACATTCACACTCATGCACATGCACACACACCCTAGAGGGGGGCGTGACAACAAAGCATAGGACACACACACCTGCACTGCCAACTTGGCCTCTGCCCTGTGGTGTGGCTCTGTCCACTGCTGCTCCACACCTGTGCATTCTCCCTCACCCCCCTCCCCAGGACGCCTGGTGCTTCCCATGGGAGGAACCCAGAGCCTGGCATCTGCGCCTGCCCAGGTGAAGCCCAGGAAGTGCCGCCCAGAGGCTGCATCTGCCCCCACGGTGGCTCTGGGCTCCCAGCGGTCCCCGCCATGTGCTGTGGTTGTCTGTGTCCGGTGCTCCCTGGATCACTGTCCTCCAGCCTCCAGCCGTCAGGCAGGGGTGGTTCGGCTTACCGTCATGGTGCTCACATGGCTGGCTGATGGACGATGGAATTGGATGGGGGAACAGGATGGGGACAGCCCCTGAGCAGCAATGCTGGGCACACAGGCAGCTGGGAAACGCTTGCCAAGCCTAAGGACACCTCCCAGCCAGCGCGCTACCCAGCAAGGCACAGCACAGCTGGAGATGCAAGCTTTCAGGTGGTCACTGGCTGTTTACATTTGTGCATGTGCAGCATATTGCATGTGTGCTGTGCTTGTGCCATGAGTGGTGTGTGTGTGTGTGTGTGCAGTGTGTAACTGTATATATATGAAACCTGTGCACTGTACATGCTGTGTAGCATGTGTATACTATGTGTGATGTATGTGCTGTGTGTGCAGTGTACGACATGTGTGCAATGTGTGTGACGTGTGCAGTGTGTACTGTGTGTGGAGGTTGAGTAGTGTGTGTAATGCATATGTGTGCCATGTGTGCGGTGTGTGGCATGTGTAACACACATGTGTGTGTGATGTGTATGTGGTGTGTCATGTGTGTAATGTGCATGCATGTGTGATGCCTGTGCCATGTCTGTGGTGTGTAACATGTGTAACATGTACATCTGTGTGATGTGTGTGGAATGTGTAACGTGCATGCATGTGCAATGCAGTGCCATATGTGCAGTGTGTGGCGTGTGTACTGTGCATGTGTGTGGTTGCCACGTGCACATGTACCATGCATGTGCCCTGTGCACACTGCCCTCCTCCCCTGGTGCCCAGAGATGCACCTGCTCATCCCTGCCTGCAGTTTCCTTGTAAGTCTTGTGGGTGTCTGCCGACCCTGACTCCCGGTTCTTGGCTTCTGCACGTGGTGTCCAGCATCCTTGGGCTTCCATCCAGTCTTCCCATTGAAGGTCCACTTCTGACTGCAGTGGGCGCCCAGCTTCTCAGCTCGGCGCTGTGAGCTCCCAGCTGCAGGACCGCCTCGTGTATGATGACCATGGATCTGCCTCTGTTGCCCTGTGCCCAGCCATGGTGCACGGTGCAGTGCTCTTGATGCCTGTGCCAGCAGCCTGCTGCTGTGTCCCCATTTCTCCATTTCCTGCTGGGTTTCTCCCATCCATTGGCTGCCATATGTGCTAAGACCATGTCTGGCATTTCTTGGCTGTGTCTCACACACTTTCCTTCCAGATGGACTTTAGAAAAACTTGGTCAGGTTGCAGAACTGAGCTCACTCTGTCACTGGGGGAAATGGCATCTATGAGTCTGAGGCTCCCTCACACACAGCGCATTTCTGTACCAGCTCGGCCACGGCTTTGGGCTCTAAGCAAAGTGAATGCTGTAGTCCGATGGCTCCTCTTTCCTGTTCGGTTACTCCGGTTTTCAGAGCACGTCTGTGAATGTGTCTGTGCTGTGTTATGTACAGGAACATCCACCCTCAGGGGTACATAAACCTGTGAGTTTTGACAAATGCATACATCTGGAAAGGTTTCCCCTCCACTGAAGACCTGTCCTCTGTCTCTGCCAACCTTCCACTCGCCCCGCCTTCAGTCACTGATAGGTTTCTCATCTCCAGTTTTGCCTTCTCTCAGCATCACCTTGCAAGGGTCACTGACCCTGACCCTCCAAGCAGTCTGTCCATTTGCACTGTGGGTCACGTCCCGTCTGAGCATGCAGCACAACATGTTCACATGCTGGCTGATGGACACTTCGGCTTCCGGCTGATGACAGTGAGGAAGTCGTAGAGGCACTTCCTGCAGGTCTTGGTCTCTCACTGGAACACTCCTGGGCGGGACTGCTGGGTGGGATGTGAGCCTGTGTCTAGTAACACTGCTGAACATTTTGCTGCTACCCCAAGTAGGACTTTTCCTATACATTTTCTGACAGCTTGTTGTGATATAGGAAATTTTTGCTAATGTATTTCTTGCTTGTGGCAGTTCGCCCTGCCAAGCTCATTATTTTCAATAACCTGTAGCTGCTTTTCTTAATTCAGAAGTCTGAAGACAGAAGGGTGGCAGTGTGATCTTGTTGGTTACTAGGCAGTCTTGTTGCATCACCTGGGCAGATTGCTGCCCAGTAAGGAGACAGGCATCTTCGTCATCTTCTGTCCTCGGAGGTAATTTTTAAATGTGGGGCAGAAGGACACACTTGCATGGACTGTGAATGCCCCGGTGCTGAACAAGTGACCGAGGAGAGGCTCTGCCCACAGAGGCAAGCAGGCTGGTGCCCTCCAGGTCCAGCATGCTCATCTCTTCCACAGAAAAACCTGGCCTGGGTGCTGAGAGCACTGAGAAAGACAAGGCAGAACTGGGCCATCTGCAGGGCAGCTGGGGAGAGCCTGGCAGGGCCAGCCACTGGGGACACTGGGGTACGGGGGGGGGGGGAGGGAGAAATGACCCTGCTCAGCTTCAATCATGGCCGCGAGTGCTGATGTCAGTCAGCTCTGCAGGGTTTGCAAACTGTGTCCTTGTGCTCCCTACCAAGTCTAACCTGAAACCTACCTCTGTCCCACTGCTTCTGCCTTAAACAACATTCAGTCAGTAAACGTGCATTTCTGCCTCCCTTACCCATAACCAACCTGCCCAAAGGGAGAGGCTCATTGACTGTCTTTTCTTGCAAGCATGAAGGGTATCTGATCGTTTTCTTATGGCCACAGGGCAGAGTTGGGGCCAGGCTTGCTATGTGAGAAGCAGACTGTTTGGGTTTCTAAAGCCAACCCTTCGCTTCCAGCCAGTGAGGGCCAGCCCAGTTCAGGGTCCTCTGTACCCTACCCCCTTCTGCCTAGAGGCCCCGCAGCCTGGGAACGAGGAGCTGGGGCTGGCACCCTGAGGTGTTCAGAGGAATAGAGCTTGGGGCTGGCAGGCAGCACAGGCAGAGGCCAGAGTCACTGCCAGACAACGTAGGTCTCCAGGTGGTGTCTGTGCTCAGTGCCCACATTTGAATGTCACAGGAGACACATTGCTGTGGTACAGGGATGGCAAGACGCCATACCAGCACACAGCGTGCACTCATGACAGGGAAAGGCAGGTGTCCTCTGCTGGCACTGGCTCTTCAGAGACCATGTGGGATCCTCTGCACTGAGTGCAGATGGCCCAAGCCTCTGAAGAGGAGCTTCTGGCCAAGGAAGAAGCCATGATTTGGGGAACTTGGGCCTGGGGCCTGGGGAAGCACTGTGTGGCTTTGGCTCCACCTCAGGGTGTTTCCTGAGCTAACAGAAATGTGGGCACGGAGAAGACCCTGAAGAGGTCCGGTGGTCTGGTACAAATGTGCTCCAAGGACTCCAGCCGAGCCCAGAGGCAGAGCCCAGGAAGACTGCCTGCCCAAGGTCAGCACTCTCTTCTGTGCTCATAATTCAGGCCGGCTGGGGGCAACTGGGTGGGGAGGCGTGAGAGACTGGAGATCAAGTGTGGGGTCTTCGGGGAACCCAAGTACATAGGCGTCCATCTTTGTGAGACCCTGGGTTTCCTATACAGTTGTTTGAGAAAGGACTGAGGCTAAAACCAACTGGAATCTGAAAATAGCAGTGGTGTCCAGAGCCAAGGCTCTGTGCCCAGGTCCCCACTAACTAGGAGGACCAGCTGTCTGCTCACCTCCATGGGCCACACCCATGGTAGGTCAGTGGGAAAGGAGGGAGGGGAGCCGGGTGCAGTCTGGGGGATGGGAGGTGGTTGTCTGGCCTGGGCCATCAAGATAGAGGAGGCCCCTAGCAGCCCAGGGCTCCTGCCGGTTGCTCGGCCTGTACTCCCATGTCCACAGGGTCCCTGCCCACGCCCTTACCTTCCTCAGCTCATGCTGGACACTGCGAGTGCTCTCCTCTGAGGACAGGCCCTCCTTCGGGTCCTCAGGCTCTGTCCTGGGCTCAGACTCGGGGTCCTCCCCGGAAGATGTCCCCTTTTCGCTCAGCTTCATGGCCAGCTCATATAGCCGGCTCCTCTGCTTCTCCTCGGCTGTGTCGATGCTGGTCCGGGAGTCTGCAGCCTCGTTGCTCAGGTCAGTCTCTGACAAATTGCTGGGAACCTGAAGGAAAGCCAGAATGCGGGTGAGAACCCTGCTGATGCCCACTGTGCTGTGGTGCAGCTCGGCCCGGGAGCCCAGGGAGTCACGGGGCAGGGCCGGGGACGGCAGTGCTCATTTCTGAGCCAGTGGCTCCGCCTGTGTTTGCTCTCCTAGATGCCTGCGGTACATGCTCTGCTCAGGGTTCTCTGACCCAACGAAGTGCTGGATTCCTCCAAGCCTGGCATAGTGAGTCTGAGTGGGCTCCCAGGGGGCAGCCCCTCAGGGGGCAGGGAGGATGTGGGGAGAGGATGGTGGGTGGGCGGCCCCTCAGAGAGGCTTCTGCGCGGGGAGGAGGGGTGAAATGTCATCACTGTTTTAGATTTCACCCTACAGCGGAGAGTTCAGGATTTTTCACTATGGCACAGGAAAGAAAATGGAGAATATTTTTGCTTATTGGATGACTTGGGATGAAGCCTGGGAGGAGACCAGTGCTCCAGGCTCTGATACCATGGTGTGGATGGTGGGATCCTGCTGCTGCCTGGTTGGTCATCAGATGCCGGTGTCACACGCAAAAGTCACGGATGCTACAGATAGGGAGGACAGGAAGGCAGGCAATAGCAGTGGTCTTACCGCACGCAGCCAGTGCAGCGGGAAAGGGTGGCCACCGGGACCACTTTATTCTGGTGGACCTCAGAGCAGAGTTCACAGTGAGACAGCACTGAGGCCATCTATGCAGCAGAGGCACCCAACACAGGACTTGTGAATCTCTGGGCCTGCGGCCCTGCTGCCAGGGCTGGCCTGTCCGCGTCTGAGGACTGGGCTGGGCTCCTTCTCTGTCTGCTGTGCTCGCTGCTACGTGTCATCCCAAGGAGTTTGCTGCCCGGCTGCATGCTGGTGAATTCATGGCCATTCTAACACCTGGCCAGGTGCAAGAACACACACCAACCCCAGTCAGCTCAGCCCAGGGGAGACGGTGACGCCACCTGGGGTGGGAGAGAAGGGGATATGCATTCACCACCCCCAAGGGGCGCTGTGGTGTGGAGGGTGAAGGCTGGTACAGGTGTGCGCCAGCCACCACCCGCTCTGCCCGCTCTGCCGGGATAGGTGCGGACTGGCATCTGTAGCTTTTGTTCTTGTGTCAGCCTTGTTACAGATCAGCTGCTGTGGCATGGAGTCCTGCTGTTGTATCATAGTTGGTTTTTTGTTTTTTGTGTTTATTTATTTTTTTCTTTTTGAGGTAGGGTCTCCCTATGCAGTTCAGGCTGGCCTTGAGCTCACTTTGTAGCCCAGGCTGGTCTTGAACTTGCAACAATCCTCCTGCCTCAGCCTCTCAGGTGCTGGGATTACAGGTATGCACGACCATGCCCCATCATAATTGGTTTTAATGGCAAACAAACCCTCACTTGAGCCTGGGCACAATATGACTGTCTCTACAAAATATTCAGGAAACTGCCAGTGTGGGATTTTGAAGTTGACATTTTCACGAGGAACAGGCAGATTTAAAACATGTTATCTTCCCATGACCACGTGGTAAACGTTCCTTTATGAAACAGGTGAATACCGTGCTCCAGACACAACCTAGCTCTGTGAGGACAGAGGCATCTGCAGCAGGTTCTAATTTCTTCCCTAAGTCTGGGCGCTGAGCAGGCATAAGACCCAGCTTCACTAGCCTTGGTTTCTGGCGATGAGCCCAGCATGCAGACACCCTGCCCACGTGGTCAGAACCAGCAGGGAGGTTTCTCGACAGCCTCTGACGATCCGGCCAAGCCCTTCAGCCCTCCTGCCAGGGAGCTCAGTGGGCCCCACTGTGCAGAATGTGGGCTCATCACCTTCCACAGGGTGGCACATGAGAGAAAAGGCTTTGGTTGACAGTCAACACAGTGACTGTCTCACATCTGTCCAGGAGAAGATTCCAAGAGGTTGGCTACACTAACATCATTATCTTGGCAAACTCCTTGTTGAAAATCCCATGGGCAGGCCCCAGGGCCCCTTGGCATCAGGTGGGTGATTCTGTTGTTTGTCACCTGGTTTCCTCCCAGGAGCAGATCAGGAGGTCATCACATGTGTGTCACGAAGCACTAGTGCTCTGCAGCGCTGGTTTTCTTGATGTGCCCTCTGTGCCCTTTTATCTGGTAAGTGTACACTGCACAGAGGGTGTGGAGGTCTTGCTGGCCGCACCTGCCCTCCTTTGTGTCCGGGGCATGATGTGAATTCAGCTGCCTGGAAACAGCGACGAGTCTGGGAGAGGTCAGCCCACCTCGCTCACAGCAGCACTGAAGGAACAAGCCCAGGCCTACACAGATCTGAAATCAGTGCTGGAGGGGAAAGACTCGCTGTGTTCTGTCCTGGAGGAAATTCAGGTGCGATGCTGGGCGCTCTCAGGGTCCTACTTGGGGACGTCCTAAAGCTCGCTGCAGGGCTCTGTGCTTCGTGGGTAGCCGCCATTTACACTCCGACCCCAGCTCAGCTTACTGACAACCTCAGCACTGGTCAGAGCGCCCCCCTGGGATTCAGAGCTGTGAAGCACTCAGGATGGGGCCCAGGCAGGGACACCCACTCCTGCACTGCCCCAAACTTCATCCTGGGACAGCCCAGAGCAGCAGGAGTTGGTGTAGCCCATCCTGACTGAAGTGTGTGGCCCTGGGTGACTGGAGGAGACAGCCCTTGAAGTATCCTGCATCCTAGAGCAGTTTCTAGGAGCAGCCCCGTAAAGATCCTGCACGGCATGGAGCCTGATTGTTCCCAAAGGCCCATGTAGTACAGATTGCTGTGGATCTTTAAGAGGTGGGGGCTCATGAGAGGGTGTTGGGTCTCAGGGGCACTGAGAAGGGGCCAGGGATACCAGCCCTTCCTGTCTTTGCTTCCTGGCCACCTGAGGTGAACATCTTCCTCTGCCACAGCCTCCCCTCCATGACACACTGCCTCACCACAGCTTGACAGCATGGCCAGCCAAGGACTGAAATCCTGAAGCCGTGAGCCAAGATAAATCCTCCCGCTCCGCTCCGAGCAGATGATCTGAGGTTTGTCATCAGTGCCGGAAGGGGCACCAGCGCAGACTTGCAGGTCAAATTCCCCCTGGATCTCTGCTCCTAGAGCAGCACCCTCAGGGGAACAGGATCTTATTCTGTTCTCATTTCCATGACTCAGGAGACTGTTTGCTCACTCTCCTTCTCGGGTCCTCTGGAAACTCCAGCCTGTGATCAGGACCTCTCTGCATTTGCTTTGCAAACGTATATTATGTTGGCCTCAGCTTATCTTTGCTTCCTCTTTATTTTTTATTTATTTATGTTTACCTTTGTCCTATTTTCTCATCATTACATTCTAGTTTTATTTTTTCTGTTCATATTGATCTTAACCACTTTAAATTATTTCTGGAGCGAGGCATGTGCGTATTACAGGAGTGTTTATAGGCGGTGAGTTACACCGAATAGGCGCTTCTCCCTGACGCGAGATACTTAGTGTGCTTTAAAGGACAATTAGGCCCTGGAATGCTAGTTGGGGGCGATTTCCCCCCCCCAGAAAATAGTTTGGGTAATGAGCACTGCGGAAGTGCAAATGCAGGGAAACCAGAAGGGCTACTCCTGTGGCTGTCCTGGCATCTCAGCCAGCAGACAGCCCTCAGCGTCTCTCAGCCCAGCACCCTGGATCTCCTGCAGGCATGGTGGGCAGAGGCAGAAGAGGGTGAAGTGCATGAAGAGCAGCGGGTGTCCGGATGTTGCCTGGCAATGAGGGAAGAAGTCTGCATTCCGCCCACGGCCACAGAGGGGGACGGGCAATGCCTCTGTAGTCACCCTCTGTCGGCCTTCTGAGTGGGCAGAGAAGCTCCTCCTCTCCTCAGCCTCAAGTCTGGGTTCAGAAAGACAAATGCTCCCCACCCTAACGCCACACAGACAGGAACACAGAGGCCTGGGCCCCTCCAGGAGCCCCTCTAGCACCCAGGTCCTCCCAGTTCCACAGCATCACCCAGAGACTTGAACTGGGTTTAAAGGGGGCTCAAAGTTCACGCAGCAGCCAGTGACACGGGGTCAGAGCTGAACAAACAAAGGTTCACAGGGTGTTTGGTGTTTCCACCTGTTCATTCTATACCACCTCGGCACTGTGGCGAGGTCTTTGCCATCTGTTCAGAGACAACCAGGCAGAGAGAATGGGATGCTGCTTACTGCAGCTCACAGAGTGCAAAGGTTTGCGTATGGAAGACAGAGGCAGCCATGGTGCAGGGCAGCACAACACCCCACAGACTACTACAAGAGTTATCGTGAACCCCATAAAAAAATTCTGCAGTCCTTGCACTGTTAGCAAAGAATGTGAATTTTAATAACAGGTAGGATCTGCTGTACGACAGTGGTTTTACATCTGGATGCGGGAAGGAAAACAAAGTTTCCCTGAGGAGGTGTAGATGGGATGGGCACTTAGACCAGAAGATGGAAAGACTGGGCAAGGCAGGAACACCAGGAGTGCAGAAGAAATGAAAACCTAGCTGCTGGCTTAGAGCTGGACCTGGAGGTGGTAACAGCAGAATTAACAAGATTGGGGAGGCTTCCTGCTTTTTGAGACGAAGGAAAAGAACAAAGTGGGGGGGGGGAGATAAAGCTGGGTGCCAGGTGCAGAAGAAACAGATTCAACGTGCCGTGATGAGGGGTCTGGAAGAAATGACCACCAGGATGGCAGAAGGAAGTGAGCCTGATTCTAAAAACACCTGGGTGGCAGGGCACGCTCACCATGATAGGTGCAGCAGGTGAGTAAGCGCCGGCCCTTCCAGAGACAGGTCAGCTTTCAGGAAACACAGCATGTGTGACAAGCAGCTGAGAGAAGGCAAGAATGTTACGGAAAAGAAAAATCAGAAAGCCATCGTCAGGCTTCTCTTCAGTGTTCAATGCAAAAGGCAGCCAACTCCCACAGTGCTCGTTCAAACTGTTCTGACCCAGACTATGTCTGTTTGTGGGATTGTGGCAGGGGACAGCACTGTGTGCCCAGCGTCTGTCACTGCAGACTGTGTGGGGAACACTCACCAACCTGTCCAC